CCGTGCTTTTTTGCCTTAATAGGTCTAGAAAAAGCATCCCCCTTGTGGAAAGTCTGAGTTGGGAAATGCTCAACAAAAGTTGTTGTATACTGTTCAAGTCAGAGTTTTAGGGTTTTCAGCAAGTTTTTTCTGATATCTTTCAGAAGAGTGACGTGACCGTCTGCATAATGAAGGAACTGGCTTGTCAAGCATCTTTCCATGGATTCAAATTAAACTTCATCGACAATTTCGATGAACTTGTATGTTAGCTTGAAGAGGTTTTCTCATTAGTTTGATGTATTAGTGATAGCTGGTACATTTTTAGTCGCTTTCGGAAAGTGTGCAAGAGGCAACTGGTAACACTCAGACAAACTACTTATTCTTCCCTCAAGGAACGTATCAGCTGTGCTCGCAGGTATGGTAAAGAAATCGCTAGAAATTGGAAGGGCGCCCAAATATCGGATAGCGATGATGTTACTGACCCCGCCCATCCGGTCATTGTGAAATATACTGCAGGTTGAATTTCTAACTTTTAGATATAGCAATGAATAACAGACAAAAAGCAAATCGGTAATAAAAGTTCTAAAATTGTTGACGGGTAATACAAAGAATGTCTAATTTACAAGATGCAATACTGTGGTGAGTTTTAAGGCGTCATCCGATCAGATGGGTGCCAAATGGGTGCTCAGTGTAAGGTCGCAGATGCGTGGTATGGTTATCGATTTGGATCAAAGAATAGGTGGGTGATGTTTTCTTATTTATTTGTTGTTCGATACGTCCGAAACGGGATGTCAGGGGCAGTTTGAAATGATGCCCATAATGCGGCCCTTTTAACACTTGAAGTGGCATTTACTTCGGGTGGTATCTATTGCAACAATAATAAATAGTTAAGTGAACAAAAAAAACATGAAGTAAACAAATGTTGTTTGAAGGTAAATTCGCGAAAATGGTTGTGAATACCTTCTCATCCCTGGGCGAAAATGAAGACGATATGGATGACAGGCGGTCGAACGTTTCAGATGATGATCCTAAGGTTAGTGCGGACTCTTTTTTCTTTTTTTGGATTCTTTTTCCTACACTTCACGAGAAAACCCAATGAAAGAATTTCTTCGAATCAAAATTGGATTTGTCAGTGCGAATTTACCAATTTCCCTGCACTTTGTTTCAGATCGAAGGTGCTGGTGAGCTGAAAAACTTACGACCTGAAGAAAGAGTACCGTGGATGGAGAGGAAGGTAGTGGTTGCTATTTTTGTTTCTTTCAGAGCAGGATATCAAAGGCAGTTGGCACAAATTCCCCAAGACGTGTAGGATTAATACGCCTGGCAGGACGGAATGCGACCCTGAGCAGGCGCTGCATAATGCCTTTTCCAAGGGAGGTGCCCTTATAAGGGCCCTATCAAGCCACAACATACCGACCCAAACGCCCGCCACGCCCGCCCACAAATGGACGACCGTTCCTGACGCTCTAATCGATTCATTTGCTAAGCAAATTATGAAGCGAAGGGATTGGTATGAAGCGGCCGTGATGCTGCATGGATATATGAGTACACATATGCAGCCGTACCTTCGGTAGCGGTTATTGGCAAGATGCCTACGGGAAACTCGTCCGAAATCGATTTTCAAGTCATTGAGAACGGAGGCTTTTTCTTCGCAGGATTTTGACCGTTTCACTCCGTTCTTTCGCCATTTTCCCACTATACAGCGCCCTGCTAGCATTTTAGGCCGAGTACCAATTATCGTGCCAACTGCCTTCGAGCGTTTCTTGCAACGTTGCGTCGCGATGACGTAGATCCCTCAGCCGGCGTACATCGAAGGGAGGTAAAGGAAATGTAAGGTTGTTTTCAGATGCACGAACAGTCGACCCTCGTATCGGATTTGGTCGGTTGTAAGGCGTCCGAGAAGCGTATCGAAGCTGAACGAGGAAAACTCCGTCAGTACGAGCTGATGCGTTTCAAAGAATTCCGTCGTAGTATGATAGAGAAGATTCGACGACGAAGGAATACTGGAAACAAAGGCGAGAGAAGGCCTAGGGTATGTTCAAGCTGAGGCTTCATTCCAGCTTACAGGGCGATCACAATTTCAATTCTTGGAAAGGCTATTGCTATTAAATAATAGGTGGGAGGTATTTTTGCGCTAGATCATGTTGTTTCAGACGTTCTCGAACGAAAATCTGAGGCCAGCGAAAACAGTTTCGGATCTACGTGCAGCGGAACAACAAGAAGAGAAAAATCAAGCAGAAAATGTTCGAATGAACATTGATGTCCAGGTACTACTGGGTTCATCAATGTGGACATTCTTGTAGGTGCTGTAGTAACTGTTTATGGCCCTGCTGTATTTTTAGGTGAGCATCGAATCGGGTCGGTGTACATTGCGAACAGCGCCGAAGCAGGAGATGTCGCTCATCATGATTCCGACAATGGTGAAAAAACCGTCAGCCAAAGATCTACGTACAAAAGCGTTTTCTTCTACCCAGCCAACAAACTTCACCAGATTCAGCATTCCGAGGTTGGTAAGGGTTATATCACGCTCTTCCAGTTAGAAAAGGTGACAGGGGAAATGAGGCAGTGATTGAAGTTGTGGCATGCTAAACGACCAGTTTTACTCATCGCCATAACTTGCCCCGTATGAGACCCCCCCCCTTAGGTTGGTGTGGAGTTGTACCACAACCTCGGTTCACCATACAGCCTGTGATGAGTAGGGACTTCTAGCAGTAATGGAACCAGCGGAATCATTTGAAGATCTTGTTACAGTTCTCAGATGTTGCTGAAAGCCCTTCCCGAAGCATTAGGATCCAACTCTCAGGGAATTCTACAGTTCAGTGATCCAAAAATGAAGACGATAATTGAGTGGATGACTGTAAGAACTTCAGCTTGGACATGAGAGGGTACTACATATCAGCAGATTCTGGTTCCATACCAGCATCGGTGTCGGCTTCGTTTTCCAAAGGGGTCGCCCATCACAAGCATCTACGTACCAGATGGATGGATGCTGCTTCTCAACACAATCCACACACTTCCCGTATTGTGTTTTTCTCTTTTTGTTGTTTTTTTTTCAGTGCATTACAGAACCCTGTTCGAGAGTGAAGAAAAACTGGTGGTTCAAAATGATAGTTCTTTGAAAACATCCGGGAGATCTGTGTGGCGAGCGGCTGCCTCACCTGCTGGACGAGTTGTCTTGCCTGCTGTTCGAGTTGAATGTACAAGAGATGAGAAGGCCTACATTGCATTACGGGGTATAGTCTTGCCTCAAAAAAATTCGCACGAGTTTCGCTTATTCGTTTGGCAATCTGTGTGCCGCATGAACATCGAGTATATGCCGCGCATCGCCGCATCATGCGCCTGGCAGTGCGGCCATGTTTACGATTGCCTTGTTCTATTTTCTCCCATATAGTCAGTAGTTGAACAGTTTTCATGCTGAGAATCTTCACGATGAATTTCCTACTGCTGCTGTTCTGTACGCAACTTTTACCATTTATATATGCCTTCCTCTTTTCACCTCGCTAAACCGCGCCAGGATGGCTGGTCCGACTTTCCCAAGCGTTGTAGGTATTATCCCTGCAGACGAGGGAGCTTGTGCAGGGGCGTGAATTAAAGTGCGGCTGGGGCAGCTTTCCCACTAATTGGTAGCAATGGGCGGAAAGCTGGAACGACCCGGTTCCTTATATGATCAGATGTTGAGGTCAGAGATCAGCATGGACTGTGCCTTGGGAATGGAAGCGAAAACGAGAATAATGAAGTCGTAAGTGCGGTTTCGACGGTTGGGGAGATTTCCCTAATGAGCCATCCTCTGCATTCAGTCGTTGTCACTCAAATCAGTCAGCGATGCTTTTTCGTGTTGGGCCAGCATCTTTTTCACCACTAATTGAAAACCCGAAGTCGCAACGATTGATGGCGACCATGCCGACATCGCATCGCGCCAAAAACCATGCCTGCTGGCAGGCCTCCCTTTCTTGAACTTTGGTGAGAGCGACTGTGTTTCCGGTTGCTGAGATTTGTTTAAATTACTGAATAGCATTCCCACTTACAGCTTTTTTTCTTTGTTTAAATTGTTTAGTGAATAGCATTCTCACTCACGGCTTTCTTCCTACCAGTTTAAGATGCGTTCATTTTAAGAACAGTGCGATCATTCGAAATCGAGGATGCTTCTACCTGTCTGCAGCGCTGGCGTCTATGCCAACCGAAACAGTGGTCACACCGCATCTTGCGGACTATCTAGAACAGGTAAGTAAGCAAGAAGAATTTGATCACATCGTAAACAACCATTGACTACATTGAACTTTTGCCGCTTAGCGACCGCACGCGTTTTTTGCGTAAAATGACAATGCTGTTTATGGGTGATTTGGTTGTGAAATGTTTTCCATTGTTTAAAGACAGCCCCGCGCTCGAGTAGTACATGGTCGTCCTTCCTTGTGCAAGTAGTACAGCCCCCAAGCTAGAGACTATCCCACTCTCGCGACTCCACAGCGAGCGAGGAGAGCTACAGCCTGCTGAAAGTTCTAGTTCTAACGCCCGCCCAGTTGGACCGCCCACTTGCTAGATGCCCTCTGACGGAGGGCCGCTCAGTTGTTCTTTGTTGGGGCGGCGGGCATTAATCGGAATTGCATGCCCTTTTTGCTGACCGCGCTCGTGCCCATAAATGATTCTGCTCTCCTTTATTACGTTTTGA